CCACCCACAACGCCTGGGCCTGAAGTGGAGCAGAGGAGCTGCTTTCTTGCCTTACAGAGGCAATAGGACTGGGGGCAGGCCAGGCAAAAGAGGCAGCCCGGGAACTAACTGTACAGATGGTACAGACAAGAAATGGGCTGGGCCAGACACCCTCTCCCCAATGGGAGAAGAACGGGAGCACCCAGAGGACATAAGAGATGATGCCCCTCCCATCCCACCAAAGGATCAGAACTCCTGGGTTCTTGACCTGCCTCTGGTCAATTACTTCACCCCCAGACCCCTGTAACATGGGGAATCATCGTTTCTCAGACCTTCCCCAGAGCTAGTCACACACGACAACACTTGTGAAGGGCTGGAATCTTTGTGGCTCCAAAGGACAGAATCTGAAGCAGTGGGTACATTTACAGGGGGTCAGCGTGTAAAAGAGCCTTCTACATTCAAAGCACCGAGCCATGGAAGCAGCTAAAATAGTGATCTAGCACAGTTCGAGCACCCAAGCAGAGTTCGGATGACCACCTGGCGAAGAGTATAATTTCTGGACACCTTCACGTACTGGATGGGAATTTGGGCATAATCTGTTGGCTGCCTCTAACTCCTTAGGATTCTTATGATTCATTCGTTGAACAGATGTTTATCAGTTGCCCGCTTGACCCATCTCTGCCACGGATGTGCTGTGTGACGACCAGTTTTCCTCCCTGAAGCCATTTTCCCACACAGAACATGAGAGTGTTGGGCCCATGGCCCTCTGGGGGCTCTTTCAGCTCTGACAGGCTGCCTTGTTCTAAGCAGGATCAGAAGGAACTACGGAGGCTCACTCTCCTCTCCCTTGTCCCCCTCCTTCTCCTGTTTCTTCCCACAGTATTCATAACTTAGCAGCGTTGGGGCAAAATGAACTCCTCCTGGCCTGTGATGCCATGTAAAACAGATGGGCTTGTTGCCATGGAGACCAGGGAGCTACTTGTCCTGGGGGCTGGGGATTGGGTGGGGGGTGAAGGCAGGCACGGGTGATTTACTCCTGCAATAGCATGGCCCAGAATCTACATGAATGTTAAACGGGGTGGCTCCAGGCAACCACTCAGCCAGACAGATCGGAAGCTACTGAGGATGAAAGACCCAGAACATTCGTGCATCCATTCCCCTCAGTTCCTGCGACTTCCCTGGCTCCCCATCCCCGCTGTACAACCTCGGGCAGGTCAGCCCCTCTCTGGCGCAGGGGTTTGACTCAATCCTCCCACAGGCAAAACTAGAGGAACACACAGCCTATCCTTAAAAAAGAGGGGACACAAGCAGTTCTGGAGGGCACTGGCTGGGGGCACTGAGGGAAGCTGGCTTCTTGGGCTCATTAGAGAAAAAGAGTTCTCTCGCAATCAGCAGTGTCCAACCACAGATGGGCTGCACCAAGAGGGAGTGAGCTCCCCAACCTTGGAAGCAATCAAACTGGGCTGGGAAGATCCTCCACCAGAGACTCTCAGGACGAATCCCCATCATGTAGGAGATAGAGGCTGGTGGCATCTAAGGGCGACGCTTTCAATTCTGAGATCTTGTGATAGCAGAGGCAGCAGAATATCATGGTTACAAGCTTTGGAGTCAGACAGACCTGGGCTCAGGTCCCAGCCCTGCATCTTACTTGTTGTGTGACCTTAAGCAAGTTAACTCTCTGAACCTCTATTTCCTCACCTGTGAAATGTGAGTCATAATACCAGCTTTATAGGTTTTTTTGGAAAGGATTAAAATGAAGCAATGCATCTCAAGTGTTTAGTACAGTACCTGGCACATATTGAATACCTGATAAGTGGTTATAATTATTATTCTGTAATTGGTAAACCTACAAAGGAATGGAAGCTCTCCAGCTGTTTGGATCAGATTCAGCCAAGAAGACTGGCTCCTGATCTGCCACTTATTGTCTCATCTGTAAAATGAGGCTGATAATAGTGCTCACCTCATAGGATTATTGTGAGGATTGAATTCTATGTCCTGCCTAAAGTGTTTAGGATAGAACCCAGCACAGAGCAAGTACGCAATAGCTGTGTGCTACGGTCACCCTCATCGTCCTCACCTCTGGTGGTCTCCTCAGGGCTTAGTACCTGTTAGGGCCAAGAGATCGATTTAGAGGTGGTGGCTCATGATGAGGCAGTGATCCTTCAAAATTTAGTGGCGACAACAGAGACTGAAAAGAAGAGAAAGAAAAGCAGGCAGCCTGAAGAAAGACCCAGCAGAGCGAAGTTGCTAATTAATGGAGAAGAGCAAGGGCTCACGGGTGGCTGCACACCTGTGGGGAAGGGAGGGAGACTGAGAGAACAGAAGAGGGGACCGATGGAGAACAGGGTGAATGGTTTCCACGTGGAAACCCCAATCTTCATACAATGCAAATGTTACGTATTCAGTCGACAAACATATCCTGAGCACCTACACTGCATTAGGCACTAAGAATATACATATGAACCGACGTGGTTCCTGCCCCCAGTGACTCTGTAGTGTTGATGGGGGAAGCAAAAACATCGCACATGGATGCGATGCAGTATAACAGATGATTTTATCCACAAGTATCAGTCCAAGGAGCTGCAGAACAGGGAGGTGATTGATTCCACCAGGCTTCAAGGAGGAAGTTGCTCATTAAGTGAGTAGATCTTCTCCAGGGAGATTAGGGGAAACATACTCTGGACAGAGGGAAAGCATGAGGGAAAATACCAGTAAGTGAAAAGCCACGTCATGTTCTAGACTTATAAGTCACTCTGATATTTAGGACTATTAGGTCCAGAGCGGAAGCTAGAGATGCCTGAAGGGACCACAGCCTGGACAGCAGTGTGGGCCATAATACAGGAATAGGGAAGGATCAAGAAGGGGGTGTGAGGGGGTGTGGGAACCCTAAAAAGGAAGGAGATGGGAGTTCACAGCGTGGGTTTAGAGTCAGATATGCAAGAGGAGAGTTCTGCGGGGAGGGTCAAGGACAACACTTCCTTTAAGGTAGGAGGGGAGGAAGAAAGAGAAGATAAAGACATTTTGAAGTAAGGAGTGGGGAACAGGCCTAAGAGCTCCACCCTTGAGCTTTCCAGAAAAGTCAGCAGCAAGGACATTAGTTAAAACAAACAAAAAAAAAAGGGCAGGGAGGAGGAGGCGGTAAGGGGCCCAGCCGTGCTACATTATGAAGGGAAAAAAGAGCACAATCACGAACCTCAGGAATGAAGGCGAGTCTATTACTGCGCTTCCTACAGTCATTAGAAGGGTCAATAAGAACACTAAAAACAGCGTAGACAAACTAGATACATTCCCTGAGAAATACTAGTTACTAAAACTGACCCCAGATAAAATAGAAAAACATAAATAGCCCTCTATCTTTTAAAGAAAGTGAATTTGTTATCAAAAATCTTCCCACAAATAAAACTCCGGCACTAGATGGTTTCACTATGAATTTCATCAGATATTTAAGGAAGACATAATGCCAATCTACACAAACTCAGAAGATAGAGGAAGACGAACATTCCCAGCTTGTTTCATGACGCCAAATTCACCCTGACGCCAAACCCTGACAAAGACACTACAAAAAGAGGCAAAACTGTGCAATGCAATATCCATCACAAACATAGATCAAAAATATTCAGCAAATTATTAGCAAATAAAATCCAGCATTACACAAAAATCATAATACCTCATAGCCAAGGTTTATCCTGAGAAGGCATTTGCTTGAACACTCAAACTCATTAATTCACTCTATTAACAGAATAAGTAAGACAGCCCATGTGACTGTTTACATAAAATCCAACACCTTGTTCATCATGTTTTAAAAATCTGAGCAAATTAGGAAGAGAAGGAATTTCTTCAATCTGATATAGGACTTCTATGAAAAACCTACAGCTAACGTCAAATTTAATATAATTTAATAGATATTCTCCCTAAGATCAGGAACAAAGCAAGTCTGTCCACTTTTACCACATCTATTTAACATTTTATTTAGCTAAAACCTAGGACAGTAAGGCAAGATAAAGGGGAAAAAGGCACAGAAATCAGAAAGGAAGAACTAAAACTTTCTGCACAAATGACATGATTGTTTATGCAGAAAATCCCAAGTAGCCTATAAAATAGCAACTAGAACTAAGAAATGAATTTAGCAAAGGCACAGGATAGAAGAGCAGCACTCACAGATCAATTGTATTCCCATATAGTGGCAGCAAACCACTGGACAATGAAATCTTTGAAAATTCCATTTACAGTAAGACTGTAAAACATAAAATACTTAGGAATAAATTTAACAAAAGATGTGCAAGACCTATACAGTGAAAATTAGCAAAAAAAAAAAAAAACCCAAAACCCAAAAATCAAAACTGAGATAGGTTTTTAAAGGTATTAAAGAGGTCTTAAATAAATGTTCCTGTAAGAGAAGACTCAATGTTATTCAAGTGTCAGTTCTCTCCAGTTTGATCTATAGAGTCCACACAATCGCAATCCTAATTTCCAGCAAGTTTTATTTGTAGAAATTGATAGGCTCATTCTGAGATGTATATAGAGATGCAAATGATCTAGACTATCTAAGGTAATCTTAACAAAGGAAAACAATGTTGGAGAACTTAGACCACCTAATTTCAAGGCTTGCTATAAAACATGTGCATCAAGACAGTATGGCGGTATGAAGAGAGACATATAATTCAATGGAACAGAATAGAGAGCCCAGAAACAGACCCACATTTAAATGGTCATTTGATTTTCAAGGAGGAACTAAAGCAATTTTATGGATAAAGCAGTCTTTTCAACAGGTGTGGCTGGAACAACCGGCTCTCAATATGGAAGACCATCAACATTGACCCCTGTCTCACACAGTAGGTAAAATTTGATTTGAGATGAATTATAGATCTAACATAAAACTACTGTAAAGCTTCTAGAATAAAATGTAGGAGAATATCTTCATGACCTTCAGATAGACTACCTTCATGACCTCCTTTCTTAGAAAGGAGGCAAAAAGTAATCATTACTGAAGAAAAATATGATAATATTAATTTCATAAAAATTTATAACTCCTGCTCATCAAAAACACAGTTAAGAAAACGATGATGTACAATGGCTGCAAATAGTAGCCTCCTTGGTAGTGTTTGTAGCCTGTTACTTGCATATGTTGCCCTAGGGATGTTGGTGACCACCCTTTCCAGTGGATATTTATGTCTGACCTTGTGTTGTCCCCAGTCTGGGCTCCAGATAGGTATTCAGGTGCCTTCAGAACGTCTCAGGGCCCAGTGACCAGAATCCGTATTTCCCAAGTCATCATGCCCATCGCACCAAGCTGCAGAACAAGGAGCATGGGATTGAGG